CTGTAAACTGAATTTTACAAGGACGCAATTACAGAAACGTCTTTTTGTAGGATGCAGTCTGCATATCCATGATAAATATTGATATTGGTTGGAAATTAGTTGTTTAGAATAATGAATATAGCTTACATGAACACATGTTCAGTAAATAGGTTATGCTTATCTGTGGATATGAGTTGTGTATAGACAAACCAAATTGGCTTTGGAAATGCTCTATGGTGAAAATGCATTCAAGGAGTTTGTAACACTGCAAGGATACATGCAATGCATTTCAACAGAAATCCAATCCACCTTTTAATATAAAGAAGATTTACAGAAGGGAAACTAAATAAAAAAAATTAACAGGAGTAGCTCTAACATGCATGTTGATTAAGAGCAATTGTTGGTGACAGATTGAAAATACTGAAAAAGTTCCATGACTCTAAGAAGGGCAAAATTGAGAATCTGTGCCTTTCATTAACTTGAGACTGTACTATTTAGTTACAAGAGTATCCAGACAGATTAGGGTGTGTCAACTCTTTGTATTGCTGCTGCACAAAGGGTTGGAATATCTGACAGTAGATTCTGCTCCACCTTAGCTGTATTAATGGGAGATGCAGTGATTTCCTTTCCACCCAAACTAAATCATCTTTAAAAGAAAACGTAATGTAATGTAATGTAAAAGAAAACACCTCTTTCGGCCCCATTCGATGTATATTTGCCTACTGTCCCTAAAAGAAAGAAGGCCTAGACCTAGTGTGTGTCTTGAGGCAGCCACAGCACATGAAAAAGCAAAGTGGTGAGATCACCGTTGGGGAGGAGGTGGAGTGCTTCATTTGCATATTGAAAAGAAACATACTCCAACACTGAAAGACGGCCAATTTTCTCCTCACTGAAAGCAGTGGACAGGTGAAAGAAGACCTCACCCTATTACAAATGGACCAAAAAAAAAAAAGAAGTTTCTTTTCAGCCTTGAATAGAAATCCCTTCGATTTTACCTCCCCCCACAAAAAAAAAGGAGAAAATTGAAAAGAGCGAACCCGTCCTGTACTTTGAGGATTGTGAATAGAGCGCAGCCCGCCTGCCTGCCCCACATACGGCGGCTGAATACAAAAGACCCCCCTCTGTAAGAGCAATCACTACGGGAGACCACTCTATCTGCACCGCTGCAGCGACACGACTCAATGAAGCCGTCAGCACAGGCTCTGCTGTCACACACACACATGCACACACTCACAAACACAAAGAGGGACACCTTGCATGTAGCACACACACACACACACACACACACACACACACACTAGTACTTTCCCAAAACACCCTCATGGCTCATGCTCTCTCTTCATCCTACAGATCAGCAGTGCCGGGCAGGAAAAGGGAGGGAGATGAGTGGTTGGCGCAGATTTGAATATTTAAATTATTTATCACCAGAGAGTATTGAGATCCAAGGCATGCCAGGGGACCCGGGGGAGCAGGGTGAGGGTGAATCTAGCCTTGTTTGGATTTGATAGTGTGCTGTTTATTGCCTGAAGGGACACTGGAAAGAAGAAAACATTGCAGATTTTGTGATATGCAGATATGTTATTTATTCTTTCTCCGTTATACATCTTTTATGTGGGGTTTCAGTGAAGTAATGTGTAGTCTCTCAGGACTTTCATGTAAATACCGCATTAATAAAAATTTCAATCATAATATTTCAATATGTCCACTGCTCATATATCCCGCTATGATTTCAAGCTGTATTGGGACTGTAAAAGGTTTTATAAATACTAGCTCACTGTGGAACAACATTAAAAAACTGAGGTTTGTAAACCGGATGATGTAATGCATTAGATCCGAAGAAATATTGGACAAGGGAGAGTTCCACTTTGGCTTGTGAGAAACACATTTTCCTTTTTGTGACGGAAAACAATCCTGGGAAATGGAGGAATTTACTGTAGCTCAAGCGATGACAGGGCTTCCCAAGGAAAACATATTTCAATTTGGATTAACACATCGAGCAGTTGGATTCATCTGCTTTCTTTTCTCCACCTCATTGTCGTCGGTTCTTTATAACTTTCCTGCTCTCATGCTGGGTACAGGCTGGTCTGTGCTGATCTCCCCCTCCCTCTGCTTTATGCACTCAGCACTAAGTTACAATCTGGAGACAAAGGAAGTCCTCGGCTGGCCCCCTGTCGCTGTCCTTTTCCCCTCTCTGGTGCGCCATGAGCAAGCACAGAAATAACACTGATCCTAATCAACCCTGCCACTTGGCCATTGTAATCAAATCTGAGAAACTGCAATTTGTTTTCACTCCACACTTATTTTGGTTGTCCTCAGGTGACAGCTTGCGTTCATTTAAACATTTACTAGTGATTTGAAATCCGTTTTTCTTTGTTGGCTCCAGTACTTGAGTCAGCTTGGTGCTCGTTAGGAGGCATTGTCCACAGCCGAACGTATTTTCAAAAGTCCTTTTTCATCAAGTTACTATTCTGTTCTGTCAATGTGATTGTGAAGCTTATGTTCTGAAGTTTATTAAGTTTTGTTTTGTCAAGTAGCTTTCCTATTTTCTTCAAAGATTCTGATATAACTAATCATTTACTATTTATGTTTCATCTTTTAATTGATGCATTCCTAATGTTTTCTGAGTTGCTTTGTGTTTAGTACATGCTTTTTGCTATAAGTGTCTGGTTTGTCCACACTTGGGTTAAAGGCTCAAGCACATCCAATACTTTCAGTACCATTGGCCCACAATTTAAATGAGTTAAAGAAAATGTTTCTGTATTTGGCAGATTCTCCCTGCTCTGAGTGCTTGTAGCTGCCATCCATCTCCCTTTAATCCCCGTGGTGAACCTAATTTGTTTCAGCCTGTGAGTGCACACCAGTGTGGATCGTGTCCCCAGTAATGATCCGCTAATTATGAGAATCCACAGCAGCCGTGGAGGTGTGTGTGTGTGTGTGTGTGTGTGTGTGTGTGTGTGTGTGTGTGTGTGTGTGTGTGTGTGTGTGTGTGTGTGTGTGTGTGTGTCCTGTGACATATGTCCATGCTGTGTGTCAGAGAGAGCAACAATGTGTTTAATCACACTCTGAGGCCTGTTTCTTACATTTGGGTCCTCATTCTATTCGTCTATTAACCTTCACTTATGACTGGTTTATTGGCAACGTGAAAAACATATTTTATTAGGAGGCTATGCTGTAATACGTAAATGATTTAATAATACCGGCATTAAAATGCTTAGTTTCATAGGATGTTATTGAGCTTGAAGCTGCTATATATTTGTATACATTAACATTTGATCACATGACTGCCTTTCTGTGAAAGGAGCTGCTGGTAGTGACGGAATAAAGAAGAAATTCACCCTGCAGTTCCTTTGAGCTTAAAGGTCCTTACACACCAAGCCGATTTTCGGCGTCGATAGATGTCGGGCCGTCGATGAGCGTTGTGTCGCCGTACTCAGATTGGTGTGTCTTGGTGTGTACTGCACCGCCGTGTCTTTTCGGCCGTGCCGACACCTTCCGCCGCCGATTCGACATGTTGAACCGGGAGGCTGTCGGCTAAAGGCCGTCGGCCAAAGAAATCACTCTGATTGGCTGTTCAGCTTAGCGAATCAGTGCATGAGAAGTGAAACGGACGTGAGGGACCCAAACAAACTATTAAGAAGGCAAATCTGAGATTTCATTTAACTCCTGCTCTCGACACAGGTTCGGGAAAGCCCCATGAGCTTCTCGCTGTAGAGTGAAAATGGAACGCACACGCTATTTGTTGTTTGTTTATATCACGCAGTCTGTCTTCCGGTTGTTGCCTCTTTTGAATGACGAATACACACTACCGACGCCTGCTGGTAAGGAGAATTATTGCCACTCACGCATGCGCAGTTCGTACGTGCAACTTGGCCGTCGGCTGAAGTCTTTGCGGTGTGTTCCAGTGCAAAACATGGCCAAGACGCAGGCGACGTGAGGCAACGTGAGGCGACGTTCCGTCGGGACCTGTTCTTTGGTGTTCTTTGGTGTCAGTTTGGTGTGTAAGGACCTTTACAAAGCTTTCAGCTCATTGTTTTGGTTTTACGGCCCACAATTCTACTGTTCAGTCTCGTTGCTCTCAGCAGCGTTGTTCTGGACCACAGGAACAAGACTTCAAACTCATGCAAATGTGGCATTGTGTCGGCTGTGTGAAAAAGCAATTTACTAACAGTTTCACACTGACTACTTTAAAGATGATAATAAGGTTGTCTTGTTCTCTGTAGGTCTGTACCAAGTGCAATCTTTTGGGCTGATTGTTTATATTTCCACATTTTAACAGTCTAATTAAAAGTAGACTTATAGTACAGTGTGCTGACAGAAGTGCTTTGCAGCGGGGGGGGAAAAGGAGCCATATCGGACCACATATCCAACAAACATCTAAGATCCCGAACATTCATTCCAAGCCTAAATTCAAAGCTTGCTTACACCTTCCATAAGAGACAAAACTATGGATTAAATTAAGGTTCAAAATATAAAATAAACAAAATATGTAATAATAGTGCATTCCAGTTGTACTGGTAAGTGAAATCTCTGAGTTCCCAGTCAGAGATTTCTAATGAAAGGCTTCCTGAGGTTGGACTTCCTAAACTCGGAGAAACCATTCCGTATACCACACCAATCAACTGTACATATGGTACTGCTCATTTGATATCTGTGGATATGTTGCTATAATGTTTGTATTCACAAAATAAAGTGTAGTTATCAACATATTTTGCTAACAATGGCTAACCTGAGGTGACTGCTAAAGCTGTAAACAAGGCGAATAACGTTCCTGCCGGTGGCCATTTTTTTCTGACTTGTGCTGCTGTCCACTCTGATGTGACGTCAGTCCCAATTCCGACCTGCGACTTCCAATATAAATGAATGAATTCATATAAGCTTCATTTTCTCTAACACTCATCCTAACATATGAGTTATGTAAACACAACCTGGTATAACAAGAAAAACAATAATAAGAAAAGCCTATCAAAGTGAACAGTTTATTTGATGAACTTACAAAATTGTTTTTTTTTCTGCTCCTTTAGTCGAGCCATCAAGACCAACCAGGACCTTCTCCCTGACACTCCGTGGACCAACGTCCTGTACGACGACTTCTGGGGCACCCTGCTGACTCACAGCGGCAGCCACAAGTCCTACCGGCCCCTCTGCACCCTCTCCTTCCGCCTGAACTACGCCCTGCACGCCCTGCGGCCCTGGGGCTTCCACCTGCTGAACGTGGTGCTGCACGGCCTGGTCACCGCGCTCTTCACGGCCTTCAGTCGACAGCTCCTGGGCGGGGGGCTGTGGAGCCTGCTGGCTGGCCTTCTCTTCGCTTCTCACCCGGTCCACACTGAAGCAGTCTCAGGTGTGGTTGGCAGGGCGGACGTTGGCGCCGCGTTGTTTTTCCTGCTGTCTCTTCTCTGCTATGTGAGGCACTGTGGACTTCGTAGGGACTTCCAGAGCAGATGTGGAGGCTCCTGGTGCTGGGGCTGGATGCTGGGCAGCCTTGGGTGCGCAGCAGCCAGCATGCTGTGGAAGGAGCAGGGGGTGACGGTGCTGGCCGTGTCGGCGGTGTACGACCTCTTCGTGTTCCAGAGACTCCGCTTTCGCCAGGCGCTTCTCCTCCTGCTTGGAAAGGTAACTTAATGCCTGCCTCCTGGCGTCTAAACCAGTTTCCTCTTCCTTCCCCTCAGAGGCTTTCCTTATCCCGCCAGCTGTTAATGATTCCTGTATGGTGGATTATGTTTTGTGTGTGTTTGCTTTTCATTGGGGGTGTAATTAGGAAAGCTGTTTGCCGGTGCAAACCGCACAGTTGGTGCATAGAAAGTAAGCTGTTCTCATATGTCATCTCCTAAACAGGAAGAAACATATATGCGCAGGGGAAGTTTCCCACTTCCTCACATTGCTGCCCCCTTTTTCAGTTGGCGGCAGTAAATAGATGCACATTAACGCAAGGAAATCAGCCTCATTGTGTGCGACTGTGTATTTTGGGGGGAAAAAGAGCACTTGCAGAAAAAGCTATTTTCAGGGTGAGTTTTCTTTTTTTTAAATCTAAGGTGACAAAAGGTATGTGAAAAAAACCTACTCTGGTAAATGATCTGTTCCATCCAATTGAGCTTTTAAAACACGAATGTAAACACGCATACACACACTATGCTTCCTCTGTTCTCCTGTAGCTTCAAGTTATCTGACGAGGACAACCTTGACTTATCTGATTAAGAGCTCATAGGCACTCTGATCTGATTAAACTCCTCAGCCAACATGATGGGCCCTCGTAAAAGGTATAACTGGCATAATAAAAAGTCCCCTTGGGTTTACCGAGCAAGGACAGTCTGGCTCTAAATGTGCGAGTCTTTTTATAGTTGTTCTCGTGGAAACATCTATAAATACCTCTGTTAGTTTGTGATGTAACGCTGCATAATACATCACTAATGTCCTTTCTGGTGTAAAAACTGCAGCCCTGTACAAACTTTAGCTTGACTATCTTATCCACACAGCCAGCCTGGAAATGAAGGTGTTCTTCCCTGAAGTGTGTGAGGCTTTAGCGTACCTGTGGGGCCGCGTCTGTAGTAGTCCTTTCTGGCAGGATGATAACCTGCAACCGTTATTAAAGGGCCCTGCGGTGAGATCAGAGGGGAGAAGAAGGAGCGAGGGGTTTTTCTTCTCTGTGCATGGCGGGAGTGACTCAAGGCGTGTGTGTGTCTGTGTGTGTGTGTGTGTGTGTGTATTATTAATTAAAAACATTACTGAGAAATGTCAATCCTTCATAAAATCCTTTCTTTATATAGTACCATCAGGCGTTCCTGTTTTTTCGTCCGCCCGTTTATAAACAAAGGCAGTAGCAACTGGATGTCTTTCACAACCTGAACATCCAGCTCCAGTGAGTTGCATTACCGTCTGAAAAATGTCATCACCCTCAGTGCTTGTCAGAAGTCGTTATGAAAAATCCCAATTCCCCCGTATCTTCCTCACCCAGGAGAGCTCCTCCTCCTCTCTGCACCGGACACAGCAGCTCTGACCAGCCTCCCTCTGCCAGCCTGTCAGGTCCCAGTGCCAACCCCCTCCCCCACGCCGCCTCCAGCACATCTGGCTCGTTTATCACTCTGGCACTGCCCTCCTCTCCTGCCCCGGTCACGGTTATCTTGGCGGGGAGCTCGTTATGTTCCGGGCCCGGCCACGGGGGCAATCGCTTCCTCGATTATGAGCCAGACGTCTCGGGATGCATGGGAACACAAAGGGAGGGAGAGTGAGGGAGAGAGAGAGGGATAGAGTGAGCGAGACAGAGGGAAACTATGCCCTCACTTCCTGTCCTGTATCTGTTCTCCATCTCTCTCACCTACTGTGCCCTAAAAGCACTTTGAGAATGGACGACTTGGGTCTGCTCTGTCACATCGAGGAGTCAGTAGCAATTGAATTTGATGGAAGACGAAGAGGTTGCAAATATATATGTATATAGTATATGTCCTATTTTATTATATTTTTATCTCAGTTTCTCACATGTGAAAATAAAAATGGTATTTACAGCTTTTATATATTAGAAAAACAAATGTTTTCTTCTTTCTGTGTCTTATATGCACCATTTAAACCAAAGCTATTTCCTCGTATGTCTAAACCTACTCGGTAATAAAACCTATTCTGATATCTTGGCAGAGAATAATGCAGCTATTTTCCATTCAATCAAAAATATGTTCAATTTATTTCACAATGAAGCAGAAGATTGAAAAACCTCACAGCAGCCACAAGCAATAAGGACATTGCAAATCAGCCGCAGAGCAGAGGAGGAGACAGATGTGCCTCGGCCAGCACTTCATTTCTCATCCTATTAAGTCCCTAATCAGACTGAGATGAGATCTGAGACGAGACAGGACGGAGGGAGAGCTGGAGAGTGTTAGGAGGAGACAAAGGAAGGTGTGGTGTTGTTAGCACTGCAGCCATAGAGGAGGCAGAATGAGTCTGATATGCCAGGGTCATAGAAATATATATTCTTCCACTCTCAGTTTGTCAAGAGGTAAAACACACAGGTTGATGAAGGAGCCTCTAAGCTTTAGACAGGGTCCAGGGAATAGAAAGTAGGGGTACACATACGAGGAATTTGCTGTGGTATAAATGGTGCATACAAAGACATAGAAAGAATATGTTTTTGAAAAGAAAGGGGCAAAGAAATTGTACTATTATAAAAGCTATTTAAGACTCTTTTAACAAATACAAAGACAAGTCACAGAAGAAATCGAGTACAGTAAAATATAATACTATATTCAAATAGTTTGCTTTGTTAGTATTAGGGAAAGTCAGATCTCTTAGCTAAGCTTGAGGTGAACATTTAGCAGTGAAGATTGATTTCATTAATTGTATTTGTTTATTTGAGCAAATAATTCAAGCATGTACTTGACTTAATGACAAAGACGTGAATGATTTTGTTAAAAGCTCTAGCTCTACTAATGAACATGAGACTGGATTAGAGTGCTTTATATTCACCACCTCTGGATTGTCTTAATTCAACTTAAATGTTGGATACAAACTAAAGATGACATTTATGCATTTTACCGGAGGGTTTTATTGTGTTCTTAAAGTGTTACGGACTCCTCCTCCTCGTTTGTCTCAATGAGCGCTGGAGGCACGAGAATGAAGTTCAGTGTAACCAGCTGAGGGATGTTGTGCCAATTATCTCCTCGCAGGAGCGTTGAGCTGTGAAACGAGGCTGCTGCACGTCCTGCTGCACGCTCCTCATTTAAATGCAATTGTGTGTACACTGGGATTCCAGAAGTAGGGCATGGTCACACTTTCTGGCAACATCATCGTCTTATCCTCATTCTTAACATTACTCACACAGAAACAGTCAAAAAAACGCTTGTGTGATCCAAACATGTGGTAGTCTATAGATAGTTGTTAGCTAGCTAGCTGTTATTGCTAAGTAAGCAAACTACTCATAAAAGTTGTTAAAATTCTCAATGGAGCATTTAAAGGAGCTTGTTTTGTTTTATGCTGCTGCAATAATAAAAAAAAATTGGTATTAAGTATTATTTTCTTATCTCCTTTAGCACAGGGTACAATGGAATATCATTTAACAAAGGAAATGAGATAATGCTATCCCACAATTCCTTGTCAAAAGTCAAAGCAAAGCTGCACCATTTAACTGTCAATACATTCACCAAAGCTTTGATTTTGATACGTTTAAAAGTAGGTCTGATTCTGCCATATAAGAACTACAATACTGTGTGTGTATTTTGCGTAACGACCCATTGTCTCGCTGTACCTTAAACACACATTCAAAATGTTCAATATCTTCAATTGCCTAAACTATTAGATTAAAGTCTACCAAGTAACCACATCAAAGCCAACAAAGCTAAGTCAGATGCTTGACATTTGATTAAGAGATCCCTCTGTTGTCTTAACCCCCCTTAGGACACTGATGTCCCTAAATTACTCAAACAGGAAGCTCTTTTAATGTCATGTTAACCACCCCCCCCCTTGTTTTATCAGCTGTCTGGGTGGACACGCGCGAGGCTTCAACCTGTGACCCGTCTCCTCACAGGTCTCTGTGCCAGCGGCAGCATGGCTTTCAAGGAGAGAAGCGTGGGGTAATTAGGTCACTCTATCAAAGTCACCCTCTCAATGCCAGCCTGCTGCTGTCTGATGACTTGGGCGAGTTGTGCCAAGTCAGCAGAATCCAGTACACATTAGAGAGCGGGAAAAAGAAGTGGATGCATGCCTCATTGTACCTTTCATCACAATTTAGCAGGTCACTGGTAATGCATCAAATATGAGCGCTGCTGGATGTGTTTTATCCAAACAGTGGAACCAGGACCATACACATGTCACTGACAAAGACTGGCTCCACAATGGACTGATGTAGCTCCCACCTCAACTTTATTGCAAGGTTTTTCCCAAATTATATTCGGAGAATCTCATAAAGAATAGTTGGCAATGAAACTATACTTGGAGTGAAAAATGTTGTTAGTTTTTTTTTCATTTTTGGAAAAGAGGAGTGTATGGTTGTAGAAATATCGACATTTTCTACAATGTATTTTTTTCGAGGATAACATTTTGAATTACATTTCTCAAACAAGTAGTGGGAATGAAATGCATGGTCAGCCCCGGTATGCTGGAAAGAGTTACGAGCAGTATAAATTGGACACGACTTTCACAAGGAAAGTCCGGAAGATTGATCCCCTGCTGTCTCGAGTCAGTCCGCAGCAGCTCTAAATGGTCTGCGTATGAAGTCAGCTGCAGTTTCTTCAGACATGTTAAGAACACATGCTGTAGTGTCAGTGGGCAGACCTCACATTACTAAAGCTAATAATGAACAGCAGCGTTAAAAGATGAAGGCTCTGGAGCTTCATAATGAACTGTATGTGCGGAAACATAGAAACAGGACGAAGACCAATCAATTTAAATTCAAGAAAAGATTGGAATTAAGAGAGTTAGAGGAAAACCCACAGAAACTGAAGTTGAATTCCCAAACGGGGATTCTACAGTAGAGGAGATATGTGGAAGGTTGAAAGGCTTGGAGCGAGAGATATTACGTCTGACAGTTGGTTGGGGATTACGCCAGCCTGCCTCCTTGGAAACATACAGATCGCATGGAGGCCAATCCATTAAAGCTAGAACATGTTCCCAGGAATTGAAGTTAGACAGTATTAAAACTGAACAGTAATATCAAAGAAAAGTACTAATTAAATTCAGAAATAAGCCCTCTAGATTAGCTATTGAGGAACTGCCAATATTAAATGTACTATTCTGACAAGATAATGACCTACTGCAAAGTATGTTAGAAAATGAAAAACATCAAATGATGTTGTTTTTAAAGTAAAAAGCCCATTGATTCTGTTGATGCAGGGAGAGCGCTTTTTTATTATAATGGTATTTTCGTAAAATGGACATACATTCCTACAGTATGAGGAAAAGACTGGGAACCTTTCTGAATTGGATTGAAATGTAATCTCCTACAAGAGTTGCTAAGGCAACTTCTTTTACAAAAGATACGTTTTTTTTCTTTCTTGCAGTACATAAGATACTCTATAGCAGCAGAGCTTCATCATTCATTTGTCAGATATTCTTTTTACTCACAAGGTGATGAAGAGGAAGGTCCCTTCTTGTTGCAGTAGTCCGGCTCGTGCAGCTCACTGAAACACTTGCATGTGAGTCATCGGTCATGTGATCAGTCACACCTGTGCTTCTTCTGCCAGGAAGCCGTGACACGTGTACGAGAAACGTCTAGAGTTTAGGTCCTTTTTAATCGACCTCATCCTTGAGGAGATTCAGAGATACCCATGGAAGCTGCAGGTGCCCATTTAATGAATTATTTTAGGCAATAAAATACTAAAGCACAAAACCAGCTAATCTTGAGGCTGTATTACTCGTGCTACTGCCCTGTCAGTATTCCTTTAACCATAGAATGGCCATGGAAGAGGGAATCAATTATCTGAGTGGAGAGCTTAAAGGACTTTTGTGAGCAATTAAAAGCTGAGTAGCAGATCATTCAGTCGTTGGAAGGGGATGTTGGGTTAATGAAGATCTATTTTCAACCGACCACAGATGACTACTGAGTGCAGTGGGAAGGTCATACCAGACTTCAGCAAAACAGGAAATAAAACTAGTGATCCTTTTTACTTAATGCCTGCTTCATCAACCTGATGCTCCTAAAAGCTGGCTAGAATACTACTTATATTTACTGCTGAGTTTGGGAATTCACGTTCATATATCATTAAAAAGGCCAGCCTCCGCTCTAGCATGCAGCTGGTGATCGATCGGGAAGTCAATTAAGAAGCGATTTAGATATAGACAAGGCAACGATGGGTAAAATGAAGCTCATTCACCTAAATACCACAAATGACTCTCTTGCTGAAATTGGCTTATCCTCTGATACCAAGCAGAATTGGATTTCTCAGACAGTTTCCTCCCTTGACAGGCATTATGGGCTCATCAATCAATAATCAAAGGCACTCTCTTATTCTTGTGTACCACCTTTCAGCATCCAAATCAATACCACATTTTTTCTCCACTCTCACTTCCTCACTGCTCATTGGAAATGGTGTACTGGCCCTTTTCCATCTCACTATTGACAGGTGGCTGTCTGTAACTACTTCTGTCTTTACATGTTCTCCCTCAGCCGACTTCTTGGGGCAACATGCTTTTCCATATCAGATGTTGAGAAACCAAGTTAGGTCAAGCGAGTCAAGGCTAAACCTCTTAATGTAATCCTGGCATGGGTTTGTTATGGATAACTTGTGTTTTCCATCTGAAGTGGAGACAAGCTAACTCAAGCATGCAAGAGAGGGATCATTTCTGTCCGAAGTTCATGCATGAGAAACTGAAAGCTCCTTCTTTATATACTGTAGTGAAGCTTTCATCTGCCTGTTGTGCAATTCATTTAGAGCATTACGCAGAGAGACTCAATTATTACTGAAGAAGTCAACTCGGTTAGAGATGAAAGGGAAAGTAGGGCTACCTTGGATCAACACTCTAATGGTGATGATCAGAATGTATTAAAGCCAATATTGACATTATGACTCTGTCCAAACAGTATTATTTACATTATAGAAGCATGCAATTGAGTTCGCACACACACAGATCTAACAGCGCTGCTCAGAAAGTAGGAAGAGAGCAGCATCTCTGTGTCATCAATCATGATGTTATGTAGTATTTATTCCATTAGGAAAACTCTGTTAAGAACATGAATTACAAGCACTTTTTGGTCAGGAATGCGCCAGGCTGTCTCTGTCAAGAAGCCTACATGACATTTCAGTTTATTAAATGAAAGAAATTCAATCAGATTTGCAGAGTGTTGGCATAAACACACCCTAAATTACATTCAAGCAGTAATTGATTTCAGAAAGCTCCATATAAAAATGTGGTATTTAAGGAACATCAGAGCAGACAGAAATGTCCCGCTCTCATCGCGCCTTTCTATTTCTCTCCCCACTGTCACTGATGAATGGGACTTTATAAGCAAGTAATGAAAGGTCGAGGGGTCACGGGTGTGATGGCATAACCTTTCCTTGCAACTCAAACTGCAGACATCTAAACAGCTCATTATGAAGCAGCTGAAATTGGCAACATAGTTCCTGAATCTAATTTATGCCTCAAAGACAGATTTTCCTCAAGAGTCACCAACCAAATGTCATTTTTGTTTCCTCCTAACTTTCAATCATTAAAGGTGGGGTAGGTAATTTTGGAGAAACCAGCTTGAGTGCGCTAGAATTTGAAAATACACAGCCGGAAAAAATCTGCCACTTCCTTACAGAGCCCCTCCTCCAACACACACGAACGAGCACATGACCAATGAGGGCATGAGATAAGTTTGTGCACAGATGGAAGGCTGACAGGCAGGTAGGCCATCCAGTTATTTTAGCCGGGCCGGCTCAAATGATTGGTCGTACTTTTTACAGTACTACGGCTTCCACAGATGACATTTTTGTATGGATTTTTTGTCAAAGCACTTAAGATATTCATTGCTATCGGGATGTTAAGAGCATTCCATGGAATATAACAAAAAGTGTATCTCGAGCCGGTTTCTCAAACTTACCTACCCTACCTTTAAGTGTTGAACACAATTTTCAAGACAAGCATTCAGTTGAGGTTGGCGTGTGACTGTCAGTTCAAAGGTGTTGCGTAGGGCTGTGCAATTAATCGTATTTTAATCTCGATTACGATTTTGACCTGCAACGATTACGAAAACAACGTAATCGAAATAAAACGATTATTATTTTTATTAAAAAAAAAAAAAAATAATAATTATAATTTTTTTTAATATTTTTTTTTATTGGTTTTTCAGTTGAATTATACTTTAAGTTCAGGGTAATCAACTGTTAAAAACATACTGTTCCAATTTTATTTTTCAATAAATGGATGTTTTCAAAGTAAATGGATTATCGTTTTTAATAATCGTGATATCAATTATTGACCAAAATAATCGTGATTATGATTTTTGCCATAATCGCACAGCCCTAGTGTTGCGTGACAAATTAAAAAAGCTAATGGTGATCATGCTGCAGAATGAATGCTCTTATGAGATGTAAACAGCATCTACATACCAACACAATGAGCCCTAAGCTGATTAGCAGTCACACTCACTGCAATCTGACAGGCGACAAGCAAAGACTTAGAGGAAAGCCTCTCGTGCTTCAAATGATTTCAAAGTTGACCTCAATAAGGTCAGAACAGAGGGTGGTTTGCTCTTATGATAGAAATAGTGTTGAGTACTCTGATTTTTAATGACTGTTTTGAAATGCCATTCTGTACTATTTCATAATGTTTTTCATTTCTGTAAAGCACTTTGAATTGCCTTGTGTTGAAAGGTACGATATAAATAAATGTGCCTTGCCTTGACATTAGCCTAAATAAAAGACATTTGGAAATATATTTGCATGTAAATCCAAGTGAATGCGTCTTTCTCCAGTTTAATATCCCATCATTACAAGATTATCCCTCAATGTCAACAGTCTTGTTGGTGCTTACCAGAAGTGACATTGATTAGAGCGCCCATCTGTCCAAATCCCAAAGTGTCTGCCACCAGTTTGAATTTGTCATATTTCACTATATTCATGTAAACAGAGCTGTGTTGTTTCTGGCTATGGTGCATTTTTAATTTGAAGAAGTATGCTTGTGTTACAAAGATCTGTATGATTTTACACGAGTGCGGTTTATGCCCCAGGCAGCTACCAAAAACATTCCAGCCATGGCTTTGCATAGTTTATCTTTCTATATGGGATAGTGGGAAAATAGATTTGGAAGCTTTTTTCAATGGTTGCTTTACAAGTCAAACCCTTATGCCGAAAGACTGGAAACATGATGAGACATTTGATTTAAGGCTGTTCAATGTAAAGATTTAATTGAATTACAGACTTCTTTCGTTATGCATAAAGCAGAATACTACCAGAAAATATAAAAAACTAATTTGTTTTAAATCAAGAGGATGAGCAACATAGAAGGAAATGTAACTTTAAGCATCAGTTTGCATTGACTACTTTAAAACTGATCTCTGTAGTTGGAGTAAAACTGTGGAATTCTTTACTAAATTTAGAGACATCTTAAAGAACATGTATAAAGAGAGAATAATTAAGTGTGAAGATGTCAGGTAACCTGTTTCACTGATGATAGATTGTTATGTTACTGTAAGTATTGGTTGTAAGCAGCTGTGATTGACAAACCATCTATTTTTGGGTAAGAGGCAGGTAAAATAAGACTTTCTTCTCCCTGCTCTTTTCCATCATCGGCTACATACTACAAACTGCTTAAAAAATGTTTGATCCCGACTGATAACTTGGTATTAAAATAGCGTTCTGAAATGTTTAATTAAGTCAGTAGGAAAATAGTGTGTCTTTGACTGAGCTTTTCTGGACTGACCGGTTGATTGAGGTGTTTTCCTGTAGCATGACTCTTTTCCGCTCCTCTCTTCCAGAAGAAGAACGTCAGTGTGTTGCTGAGCCTCTGCGTGCTTGCTTCCTGGGGGGGGGTCCTGCTGTCGGCTCGCCTCTACTGGATGGGCAACAAGCCTCCCAACTTCTCCAATTCTGACAACCCGGCCGCTGACTCGCCACATTTCCTCACTCGAACCCTGACGTTCCTCCACCTGCCGGTCGCCAACGCCTGGCTGCTGCTCTGCCCCGACAGGCTAAGTTTTGATTGGTCCATGGACGCTGTGCCCTTGGTCAGGTCCTTGGCCGACTGGAGGAACCTTCACACTGTTGCCTTTTATGGTGGATTCATCCTCCTGGGCTTGTTTGGCCTTCAGGGCCCCACCTCTAAAGCCAAGGAGACCAATGGGAAAGCCTATGTGACTAATGGGAAATCAATCACTAATGGGAATGGCTGCCATGCCCCCGACACAAACCATAACACAGACCAGGGGCCGCCAAAGACCACCCTGAACGGGTCAGCAGGACCCCACCAATGCCCCCCACGGACGACCCTCCCCCCCACACAACACCTAGTCCTGTTTTCATTAGGCATGCTCTCATTGCCTTTCCTCCCCGCCACAAACCTCTTCTTTTATGTAGGTTTTGTGATTGCAGAGAGGGTGCTGTACATCCCCAGTATGGGCTTCTGTTTACTGGTTGCTGCTGGTGCACGGACATTACACATCAGACTGAGGACTAAAGGCTGCAGGGCCTTACTGATGGGTCTCTGTATGGGACTAGTGCTGCTGAACGGACTCAGGACAGTTCAGAGAAACAGGGACTGGAGCAACGAGGAGAATCTCTACAGGTCAGGGATCTGTGCCAACCCCGCTAAAGGTAGGCTAGGAAACTCAGATTAGGGATGTGTATCCAATGCCAATATGTGTCAGTGGTATATTTCAATATATTTCTTTAGCTTAGTCAGATTGTATATTGTAGGGTATTCAATTTATTAAATAATTTTCTTTATAATGTGTATTATTCAGATACTCTAGTGCAGCGGTTCCCAACCTGTGGGCCGCGAACGCATTGCAAGTGGGTCGCCAAATCATTTGCAAAACATTATGATTTGTGTGGAAACATTTCATTATTCCTTTCTCTTTCTTGACCCTCCTTTGCAACGGTCATTACAGTCCATGACAGCGGTCTGTACTACTGGATTAACAATGTGTCACATGTTCTGAATTGACCAATCAGAACTTGATTTAGCCTCCGTATTGTTTATCATTGAATGTGGTCCGCGAACATTTTTTAGATTCTTAAGTCGGCCCTCAGTTGAAAAAGGTTTATTTATTATTTATTTGAAATCAATACCAAAAGTGTGTTTACCTGAAAGTGCAACCCTTTCACTGACACATGTCTCCTGCAGCCTGGGGAAACTTGGGGAACGTTCTGAAGAACCAGGGCAAGATGGCGGAGGCGGAGGCGGCGTACAGAAACGCTCTGCACCACCGAGGGAACATGGCTGACATGCTGTATAACCTGTGAGTGTTAAAGAGCCCCCCCGCCCACCCCCTACCTCCCTCCTGTTTGCAAAGGCGTGACACGAACAGATTCAGATTCCTGCCATCCATCACTTGAGATTGCAGAGGCAGAGCAACAAGGGAAAAAAGGAAAAAGGAGTACTGACAGACAGGAAGAACTTAAAGAAAATAGATCTGAACCATGAGAGAGGAGAGTGAGACTCAGAGCTAAGCGTGATGCAAGAGTGTGACAAAGAGGAAATAACTTCCCAGGTGGCTCTTTGTACCTTCTGCCTTTGATTTGATTCGTTTTGGTTTGTGGGGCCTGGGGGAGGACACAAAGCCACTTCCAATCCTGCAGCACAGAGTGAAAGGTGGCAGACCCTCACAGCAGACCCTCATGCTGACTCTCTCTCCTCTGCTCCTCTCATGTCTTAGCTGTCAGGAAGCTGGCAGAGCAACATAGGCAGCAGGGAGACCAAAGGAAGGTGTTTCTGCACTCTGTGAAGCTGAGGTTCTATCTGAATGTGATGGATGGTGGATGGTTGGCAGTGATGGATAGTAACAAAGTACATTTACTCAAGTAAAAGGTTGAGGTACTTGTACTTTACCTGAGTATCCGCAGTTTATGCTACTTTATACTTCTACTCCACTAGATTTTAGAAGCCAATATTGTACTTTTGAATCTACTACATTTATTTGACAGATTTGTAGTTACTCTTAAGGTTCAGGTTAATAGCTAATACAACATTTAAATCAATTATTTAATTAACTTTGACATTATAGGTTAAGATAACCAGCAGCATTATTTCAAGTTATTAAAATTAGCTCTATATTGACAAGTTTTGATAAAAACATATAATGGTAACTCTATATACACTCTTATTGTAAGTCGCTTCGGATAAAAGCGTCAGCTAAATGCAATGCAATGTAATATACACCATTTTTTATTCTGGGCCATTACGCATAATGAGTACTTTTACTTTTGTTTCTTAGAGTATATTTGGTTGCCGATACTTTTGTACTTTTACTTGAGTAACATTTTGAATGCAAGACTTTTACTGTACTTGTAACAAAGTACTTTTAAACTTGCTACTTTGACTCAAGTAACAAATCGGAGTTCTTCCTCCGCCACTGATGGCTTGGTATATTGCAGTTCATGTATTGATATGTTTGATAAGGGAAATAGAAGCTGCTCCAGTGTTGATGATTTATTTCTCAGCTTCATTCATCACTTTGCAATTATTTTGGGTAAACCTTCACTGATTTCAAAAAACAATGCAAATCCTTGTTTATGCAGCTGTTGGTGTACTATGTCTCACATTGTTGCTTTTCTCTGGTCTATCAGTGGCTTGCTGCTGCAGGAGAACGAACGTCTTTCTGAAGCGCTGCATTATTACAAACTGGCCATTGGGAGTCGGCCAACACTGGCATGTAAGTACACCTAAAATAAGAGTCTCTTTTTGTAGCAGTGGTTGTATATAGTGCCATTCATTATTAATTATAAGTGAGATGAGGTTCCGTAATCGGATGAGCATCATGGCCCAATTTCAAAGCTGAATGAGACAGGTTTTTTTCTACATGCTCATTTGGAGGGGCATATTCAGGCTATTTCAGCCTGACGGTGAAACGATGAGATTCAATCTCACAGTCGAGTGCTTGCATGTGAGATGAGGGACTGTCTTTTACTGTACCAAGGACACTTTTATGAGGGAGGGAAGGGCAGATTCTAGACTTTTCAAGTTAATACGTTATCTTCAAATGTCCTTTTAGCCTAATTTCGATGTCTTACCTACTATTATTTGAGTAGTCTAATCTGCCTTTGACCTCTGGCCTGTCTTCTTTTTGCTTCATTATTGCAGCGCCATCTTACAGTACTTTATTGGTAGATCCCCCTCATCTTTCCAATATAAAATACTCAACCAATGATGTTTTTACTGGTATATTCACATATATCAAAACAGATCTAAAAAAGTTGGCGTTATATAGAATCAACATTTTTGGTTTTCCTAACAGAAATGTAGTTGTTGTCTTTTGTTAGTCTGCGTATTCAAATATCATTTGGACGGCAGGTTATAATGAGTTTCCCCCCCTCCTCACAGCAGCCTACTTGAACACGGGGATCATCCTGATGAACCAGGGCAGCCTGGAGGAGGCCAAGCGCACCTTTCTGACCTGTGCCGACATCCCTGATGAGAACTTAAAGGACCCCCACGCCCACAAGAGCTCCGTCACCAGCTGCCTGTACAACCTGGGAAAACTGCTCCACGAACAGGGCCATCAGGAGGTCAGTGCGTCTGGGTTTTCCTTTCAGCTTTAAAACCTAACTTTTAATTGTTGTGCTATGTGAAACTAGGAAAGTCTGTTTTGCCCAAAGTAATCGACCCTCATCAATTACAAAAGGGTATTATGCTGATGCGATGCAAACAATGGACTTGCTAACTTTTTTTCTTCCATCCCAGGAGGCCCTGTCTATTTATAGGGAAGCGGTACAGAAAATGCCCAAACAGTTTGCACCACACAGCCTGTTCAACATGATGGGTAAGTCCCCGTTTTGTTTTAAATGCAGAAACTGAAATAGCAGGATTCAAAATGTGGTGCGATTTGCTTTTAAAATGTATTTTACATTTATTTTAATTAGGGAACATAAGTATTTCATATCGTAAAACAATGTAGACCTCGGACATGCTTGGCTTGAGTTTCAGTGATGAATTTGACATGTTTGTTCCTTTTCTAAATGTTGGTCTTCCATATTATCTGAGCTTGGAATATACCCTTGAGAGGACTTGAAGCACCTGTTTGAATCCAACACTGCAGACTCAGTGTCCTGGTGCAGAGCATTGAAGCTAATCCGCGCAATAAATCACATTCAAGGTTCAAGGTTCAAGGTTCTTTATTGTCAATCTGACATAGCTACAGAGTAATTATGCAGTTGAAAATCTTATGTCACAGGCTTCTCCAACAATGCAACATAATAACATAACATAATAACAATAAGAGCATGAGCAATACAAAAATAATAATAGTTATAAAAATGAAATAAAGTTATGATGTGGAATAGTGCAGTATGAGTCTATATACAAGTTATTGGAATGATATATATATATTAGGTATTAGATACATACTACTGAGTAGCAGTTGAATGTTTGATGTTGTTTCAACAGTTCAATTTTTTAACAGTCTCACTGCCCGCGGGAAGAAACTGTCTCCGAATCTTCTTGTCCTTGCCAGGATGCTGCGGTAACGTCTGCCAGACGGCAACAGAAAGAACAGTTTGTGGCTGGGGTGATGGGGGTCTTTGATAATCCGTAGTGATTTCTTCCTGAGCCGCTGGGAGTAAAGGTGCTCCATGGATGGCAGCTCCGTCCTGGTGATGTGCTGTGCAGTTTTCACCACCCTCTGTAAAGCCTTACGATCGAGGTCGGTGCAGCTGCCGTACCAGGCCGTGATGCAGCCAGTCAGGATACTCTCTATCGTGCACCTGTAGAAGTTGCAGAGTATCCTGGAATCCATTTTGAACCTCCTCAACCTGCGGAGGAAGAAGAGCCGCTGTCGAGCTTTCTTGGTGATGGTGGTGGTGTGAAGAGACCATGTCAGGTCCTCAGTGATGTGGACCCCAAGGAACCTGAAGCTTTTGACTCTCTCCACCGTAGTCCCATTGATGGCGATGGGGGCGTGTCCCTCTCCCTGCTGCTTCCTGTAATCCACAATCAGCTCCTTTGTTTTGCTGATGTTGAGATGGAGGTTGTTCTCCTGGCACCAAGATGTCAGGTTTTCGACCTCCTCTCTGTACGCCGTCTCGTCGTCGTCTGTGATCTGGCCGATGACGGTCGTGTCATCAGCAAACTTCACGATGGTGTTGGAGCTGTGTGTGGCCACACAGTCGTGAGTGAACAGGGAGTAGAGGAGAGGGCTGAGCACGCAGCCTTGAGGGGCTCCGGTGTTGAGAATCAGGGTGGAGGATGTGATATTTCCCACCCGCACTGCCTGGGGTCTGCCCGTCAGGAAGTTCAGGATCCAGTCACAGAGGGCGCTGTTGAGCCCGAGGTCTCTGAGCTTGATGGCCAGCTTGGAGGGCACAATGGTGTTGAATGCTGAACTGTAGTCAATGAACAGCATTCTCACATATGTTCCTGTTCTTCGGGTCCAGGTGTGAGAGGGCAGTGTGGAGGGTGAGGGCTATGGCGTCGTCTGTGGACCTGTTTGCTCTGTAGGCAAACTGCAGGGGGTCCATCCCTCTGTTATTGTAACACTAATGACATTATTGGAAGCTCATCCTGACGGCATAGCTGAGATTACAAATAGATGTCTTCCAGTATTCCTAGGACGAGTGAAATGAGAAAGGGAAGTGAGTTTTGTCAGGTGCAGGGGGGGGGGGGGGGGTGAAGTGTTTGCTTTAGTGCGATGTCCAGGGGATTCTTTGTTTAAACTGCTGTCATTTTACCCCAGGGGCCAACAGCATGTCCTCAGGTCAAACAATCTCAGAGTTTTAAACAACAATTGTTCTTTTAGAGGAAGAACATACATTGTTTCATAATTCAATTCATCTCTGACTCTTACAAATTCAACTACAATGCTGACCAACATCCGTTTCCAGTGCATTTATGCAGATATCTGTTTATAGAGATAAATCATGTCCTTTTTGTTATTCTATACAAATTATTACTCCATGTTTATTCTTATTTAATTGTATTATCCCTTGTGTACTATTTGGGTCTCTGTCTTTTTCTGTTGTTGCTATAGAGAGGCGAAGTCCCTCCCCTTCCGGTGGGACTCATGGGACCTTATTTCGGAAAAAGTTTGTATTGAAGTCAATGGAGAGAGAAAGATTATCTTTCGATCCCGTTTGAATTGTGCCACGAATTACACATATGATGTTTGTCAATCTTAAATAATAATTTCCATGTCAAAAAAGTCACACTTTGTTGTAAAACTGTTGAAATATAAGACTATGAAAAATACGCAACTAGAAAGACTACAAATCCCAGAATCCCGGTCCCGCATGCTGGCTCTTACGAACCGACTAACTCCCCTTTTGTGTATGTACAGCTCTCAACATGCCCAGACTTGTAGTGATTTTCACCTCTTTTAATACTTTTCGCCTCATTCTGAAAGAAAGAAGTGAAATGTGCCAACATGACGGCCGTCTTGGTGTGTGGTGCGAGACGGGAGATGTAGGTCATTGAGCGGTTTCACACAAAAAAAGTGTTACTTCACAGTTTTACGACACATTATTTTTTTTTTTACTTGTAAAATTATCTTTTAAATTGACAAACATCATATGTGTAATTCGTGGCACAATTCAAACGGGATCAAAAGATAATCTTTCTCTCTCCATTGACTTCAATGCATAACTTTTCCGAAATAAGGTCCCATGGAGCTCAACCGGAAGGGGAGGGACTTCGCCTCTCTATAACTCTTCAATTTCTCTAAAGGTCCATCTAATCTTATCTTAAACCCAGAGGAAACTGTGCACCAATAATGCAACACTTGTGCATATTGTGCCTAAGGCTATTCATTTAATGTCCTACGTTTTCTTTACATTTTCCTCCTAAAACACTAATCTTGCCTCCTGCTCTGTGTTGTTGTTTTCAGGAGAGGCGTACATGAGGCTGAGCCGGCTGGAGGAAGCAGGCCACTGGTACAGAGAGTCCCTCAGGGTGAAGCCGGACCACATCCCTGCACACCTGACGTACGGCAAACTGCTGTCCATCATGGTGAGTACACACACACACACACACACACACACACACACACACACACACACACACACACACACACACACACACACACACACACACACACACACACACACACACACACACACACACACACACACACACACACACACACACACACACACACACACACACACACACAGGGAGAATCATGAGGTGAGCCCAGGCTTTGTCTCTGACTGCAGTGGTTAACTACTTGGCAGAGTTTAATTAAACGGGACCTGATGAGTAATGAATAATTCATATTGAGCGACTTATAGGAGCGAGGCGGACCCACGCAATCGATTGTTCTGCAGAGCCTGGAGAACTGTGATAATTGTTATGAGGTGTGAGCTCCCCACTCTGAGAGGTGCATGCTTAACAAGCTCTCCCCCCCAGATCAGAAGTCAGCTAGAGGAGTTGTGATGCATTCATGACCATAGTGTTTGACCTCTAGCCAGACTAGTCGCATGAAAAGAGGATTACACAGTGAGAAAGAAGAAATGAAAGAAGCGATTAATACCTTTTCGGTGGCCTTGGATCGACCCTGATCTAGGACTGATGCCAAATAGCTTTAAAAAAAAAAAAAAAAGCCAAATAGTAGCTCCATCATTTCTCTTCTGAAGGTCGCAGACGTGGAGAGTGCGTCTGGATGAAAGCTATCCCTCTGTGTTTGGATGAGTTCCAGATTTGTCTGTGTTTTCCATCCCTCCCAGGAGACATCAAGGGCACAAAACTTCTCCCAAACGTTACCTTCCCCCACCCCCCCCCTCCGATGTTTGTTCTGTGCAGGAAAAGCTCCCACTTCCCGCCCTCCAACCACCTCGACCACTCCACAAAAACAAAAACAGCGCTTACAGATGTATTCACAGCTGAGTCAAGTTTAGATGTGGGAGTTGAACTGTCTCCCCCCCCCCCCCCCCCCCAGATATGTTGGCCCCCTTCCCTTCCTCAGGCCTGGGTGCTGAGGAAACCTTCAGGGTCTGACAGAGCTGCAGCTGCAACTTCTGATCATTTCCTATCTTTGTTGAAAGATTTGAGGATACACACACACACATTCACGTTAAGAACAGGTTCAGATGAGAGTGGCCCGGTGTGACTGGACATCTGCTGCCCCCCCCCTCAGGCTCAGCACTGCTGATTCACGCAGGGCCCCGACTCTCAGAGGCCCCCTTCCAGTACTACAGGGCTTAAGGAACAGGAGATTGGATGGACCCCGGACAATGGGCCAGTGGACAGGCTTATAATGCAATTACTCTCCTTCCTTATTGAATCACTCCACCAGCTACATTTTTGCCGAAGTCAATCGACTATACAGACAAGGTCAAACTGAAGTCTTGTACTTTGGTTTACCCCCGACGTGTACTTTTGAGCAGTACACATCAACTTTCAAAGTCCCCATTCTTAAATCCACAATATTTAAAGTTGCAACCTGATAGTGTTGAGCACGTGCACATCCTTCAGCAAATAACAAGTGCACTTTAAGCCACTAATGTAGCCTCATTACTCCCCAAGGTCAAAGTGATTAATAATAAGTCCAGTGTAACATTAGAGCCCTGCTATCTGTCAGAAAGCTGCAGTCAGATGGGTGTGGCGTGTTGAAGCTGTGGTCTGTCCACACTAAGCTGAGTTATGAATTTGAACTCAGCTGTGCATTTAGATATATTCAGCACTGACTTACACAGCAATACATCAGTTGAAAAAAGAGCACACCACAAAATTGTCTTTTGATAGTGTTTCAAAATAACATGATTAACATTGACCTTAAACCTTTCATACATGGACTACAGTTCAGTTCTGATGGATGTCTGGGGAAAAGGGTTCATTGAATTCAAAGAGAAAAGTGCCAAAGAAAATGTGAAATAAGCCATCGAGGCCTGATCCTCGCTCATTCATTTGGAGCCATTGGGATTGTATGGGAAAAAAGTAATGAAGCAAAGCTTATAGGTCCAGTCCTCTCATTTCTTGGTCCATTGGCAATATGGAAGCATGACACACAAGAGGTGGAGAGAGCTCCATGCACACAGGAGCAATATGTTTCTCAGTGTGGTTGCAGGCACACACACACACACACACACACACACACACACACACACACACACACACACACACACACACACACACACACACACACACACACACACACACACACACACACACACACACACACACACACACACACACACACACACACACACACACACACACACACACACACACACACACACCTTTTGAAGGTATGGCTAGGCATGTGAAGTGGTGTACTGTATTCTTTACGAGCAGCAGTTCCCTGCCGTTACCTGTGTGTAGCTGTGTGTGCCTGTGAACAGTTGATGCACAAGATGTCCAGCTGTATTCATGATATACACTTGTGTTGCATACACTGATGATATTCAACTTAAGTATTTTTTCACATTGTATCCCGTCCACTATCATTTCTAACTAGAGATACACAATATATGTGTTATGGTCATTGTGATGTCTTGGGCGATAAACACATTGTGAAAGACTGAGATCTTGCAGTTAGATCATTGAAAGAAGTGGAACTAGTGTGGGTAGAAAGTCAACTATAAAATATAACTGCCATTCTTTATTTTATTGGGCTTTTGTGTTTTGTTAAATGTATTGAATAATAATAATGTCATAGTGTTTTATTCTATCTTGGCAGTTTATCAGCAGAAAGGCAGAACTAAGCTTTTGCAAGGAACTAATTATGAACTTGAATATCAGTTGTAATCAATGATTTCCTTCCTTTTCCTTTTAGGGGCAGAAGACCGAAGCAGAGAGCTACTTTCTGAGAGCTATTCAGCTGGACCCAACTAAAGGAAACTGCTACATGCACTACGGTGAGAACAGAAATCAAAGGTTTCCCTTGCAAAACAATTCCAGCAAAGCCTGTTGGACACATTAAATCATAAATATACAGTATGCATGACCTCAAAATGTTTGTGGTTGTCAGAGCTATGTGAATACAATGTGAACTCCTTTTCTAACAACTTGCCTGATTGCCTGATCCAAACATCTGTGCAGCCTTTAAGCTTTACTGTAATGCCCAGGCTTTGCTGCAGTAAGCCGTACTCAGGTAATCATTAGGGTCTTTAGACTCTTATCCCAGACCTATACTTTGTAATGTCAGACGCAGAGTCATTAAACGCACCAGGTCCTCTTAAAACTTAAAACCACCCTGGTCTAAGCTCATAGCTCATGTAACCTGATAAAGGAAAATAATCAAATCAGTGCGGTCATTATTTGGAAGTGTCAAAGACCGTGCTGTTTTTATAAATGTTCTCAAAAATATTATCTTTCATACAATCCTGTCCTTAGTGTTGGTATCAGTGCTAGGAGTGTTTGTGCTGTTTGAGATATTGCAGATGGTGCAAACACACAAACATGCATGTATGCTATCTGTGAGTGTGGGGAAAGGATCAGAGTACACTGTTTACCATTGGGGAGATAGAGTACAACATGATACTGAGTTCCGCTTGTGCTGCTGTTAATGCAGTTCTTCATATCATCCTGCAGCTCCATGTGGCTATCATCAGGATATTCATTCACAGGAAATGAAATCTGTCCCAAAGCACCATTCTGCGTCTCCTCTTCCTTATCTCTCTCCGTCCCTCCTGGTGCTTTCTCTGGATATCTCCGCGTTCTAGTTCAGCCTGGTCCCTGGCGAGGCATTCCTTGCTGTCTATGGACCAAGCTGTTTCCCCTTAAACTATTTTTCTCCCTCTCTGGCAATTTTTCTTTTTTCAATGTTATCTTGTAGCTTCATGCTATAGGTGATGTTTGTTTGGGCCGGTCGACTCCTTTATCGCACATCTGGCCGCTCTAGCTATCCTGGGTTCACTGGATGAGCTCCAGGTGTGAGTGTGTAAGGAGTGATGCTATCTGTCCACATTATAACACAACGGATGCACACAAAACACACACGTGAGAGAGAGTGCGAGGAAGCGAGGACACAGAGGGTGATAGCTAAGAAGCGGCCCCCTTTCCTGCCATTGTTCACAGTCACTCATTTTATTGTCCCTAATATGACCCGCTTCTAATAACTCTGCTTTGGTGTCCAATGCCTTGTTTTTGGCATGTGAATTCAGTTGAATTTTAGTTCAAGAAAAGACAACAGACGCACTCTAATGAACCCTAATTCCCGTTCCACTTCCTACATTCGGTAACATCTGCAGCCGAGATCTGCTGTTCATTTATATCAGTGAGGAGGCAGAGGATTGTGGGTGCAGCACCAGGTGGCCGGACTCGCACAGGAGATGAAATACCTCCATCTCATCTGTGCTCTCAAACATCATCCAGCAAGACAAAGAATCCTTCCACATTTCTCTCACTGTCTCTCCTTGTTGCATTTCCTGTATTACTCTACAGACTGTTTATTTCACCCCATTCCTCTTCCTTTGCCTCTCAGCAGATGTCCACCTGTCTGTCAGAGCTTCTCTAAACGCTTTTGCAAATCGTACTTATATCCTTGCCTTGTTTGTTGAGCGTGTTAGCATGCTTACATTTTCTGATTATTAATTGATTCATTGTCAAGGGATCCCCAATATATTGCAGTCATAGATGACTTGCTATGAAATGGGATACTGACATTAAAAAGTGGTTCAAATGTCAATTATAACCAAAAGAGTGGCCCGTTATGGTGGCCCAGGAAATAAATTCATGGGATAACCAAAACCAGGAGTCATCTAGGAACCGTGAAAATCTGTAAAAACCTTTGTGGCCATTCATCCAAAAGATGTAAACATACTTTACTGGTTAATTGACCTGCTTGTGATGCTCCAAAAAAGTGTTATTACTTCATTCATAAGTGTTCCCCTTCTTGGCACCCTGGATACGGATGCCAAATTGAATGGCAATCCATACAAAAGTGATCAAGATATTTTAATAAAAAAACGTGAATGTTACCCTGTTGTTGGCCATAGCGGATCAATTGTAAATATCTTTACAAAAATCAACATTAAGTGATCCAATAGTTGGACAAACCAACCAATAGAACGACACTGCCTTTCATACGGACATACCATGGGTACAAATCATGAAAAATATGTTTTTTTTCTACCCAGAAATATAAATGCTCTTTCTCCGTCGTCCCCTCTCTGCAGGTCAGTTCCTCCTGGAGCAGTCTCGTCTCAGCGAGGCGGCGGAGATGGCGGAGCGAGCGGCGGAGCTGGACCAATCAGAGTTTGATGTGGTCTTCAGCGCGGCTCACATGCTCAGGTTGGCTAAACTGCTGACTTATAAAAACACCCTCTGCAAGTGGAGTTTCCCCACTTGGAAAAAAAGCACACAGTACAGAAAGTCTAATGATCGTGTATGTCAAGAAATGTTGAGGTTTTTCAACTCCTGTTTTTACAGACTTTGTGGCTTTATTCTTAACCACTGCCATTTAATAGGCATCCTTGAAATATGAATTATACTGATGTTATAGTATAGTAAATGTCCTCTCTATGAAAATTGTTGCCATAAAAGCTGTTATGTATTACATATATAAACAGCAGTACCGTTTCAGTCCATCATAGTGATGTCTGAGTCCAAGTCTTGTAAAGATGCCATCAGAGAGTTTTCCGTAAAGAATTGGCAAGCACTTGCGTAGACAGCGTATAAGTCTTAAAACGTGTTATTCCCAGCAACTCAAGGAAATATTGGCGCGATGTGACTTCATTCCTTTTTGCTCTATATATCTGGAAAAGTCATTACTACTCTCTAGCATTCATCTCAATGCAACAGCACAGAGGATTTGTTCAAGTTGAAAGTCTCAGGGTTTGGCTAGAGTTTGGTTTTAGTAAGTGAAAATCGAAATGACAGATCATTCTGCACTAAGTGGTTATTTTCATGTGAGGCTGACCGTGACATAAATCCAGACCCATAAGGATTAGAGTTTGATGGATGTGACACACTGTCAGCAGCTGGAAACTGAAACTGCTGATAATAAATGTGACCAACAGATATTGACTGACTATGAGAAGGAATCAAATAAAGATCAGGGGATGAGGAATCATTTTACTTTAAATGTTTGTTTACCAAGTCACTAACAAAGCATTTGTTATTTCATTGTTTTGGATAAAACCCTAATGCCTATTTTTCTCACCTATTCTACATGTTCCAAAACTGTCACTATATCCTGACAGTAGTGCATGAGACAGATCATCTATATAAAAAGCATTTGCCTCACTCTTTTCTATAAATAGGATCAACAATAACATCATCTTGATTAATCTGTGATCTGGGATCAGTGCTGCCAAGTTGGACAGTTTAATCGTTTTTTAACAAGCACTGATTGACACTGAGACACCTCATCTCTGATTGGTTGTTCTCCTTGTGTGTGCTGTATCTTAAAAAAGGCTCCAGGAGCACGAGGATGAGGCAAGAGGAACCAGATTTTTCACAGATTGTCAGTCTCACGAACTGCTGTCAGGATGTAGTAACAGTTGAAGCAAACATGAGAACATTTGATCTTTTATCTAACAGGTAGCTGCAGCTTCAAACCAGACTTCCTGAACCTTCATTTACATTTCCTAAAGAAACAAAGACAAAGGAAGCACACTAAGATGATGACTGATAGCTGGTCATCAACTCCAGTGAACCCCTGATAAAGTGTTGCATGAGGGTTCTTAAGGCATCATTTACTTGAGTCACAGTCTTATAAATATGAATCACCATGTCGGGAAAGAATGGTTTCCTTGACTTTATTAACTTTGGCACTGCAACGTCCGGTTCTTGAACTATTTGGATCAAATGTAATGTATGGATCAGATGAACTGTTGAATCCTCATGAAACCACCTGTACGATGCAAGGGCAGACTCTAGTTTGTGCATTATGAAAACATCTCTCCTCATGATACACTGATAAATAATAAGTAAAGCATCGGCAGTAAGCTGGTCGTAGTAGTAAAGCAAGTCCTAGCCGTGAAATCAATGCCCCAATATGAAATCTTACCGACATTATCACAGTTAAGTAAAGAAATCACTGATGGCCACTGGTAAAAAGCAGAAAGGATCGTGAACTGCTCTTGTATATTTTAAATAAAGATTAATCTGTATTGTGCAAGAGATTGGGCATATTAGATTTTTTGTAATCCAAATGTTCAAAGTTGGAGATGCAGTATATTATATTATCCATTAACCCTCCTGTCGCGTTCGTTTTTCTCCTTTACTTTGGTGTTCCCGGTCAAATCTGACCCGTCGGTTTTATCTGCTCTTACATTAACATAAAAAGCATTTATCATCACCACATTTCCTTTAACACCCTTTTAAGCTGTAAACAATGTCTGAGACTACTGGTTTACATGAATAACTGCAGTGAATATACAAAGAATAGACACTGAAAATCTATTCCAAAATGAACATGTTTGTCAATCTTGGTGTGTCCTATCTGACGGATGAACATAATCTATGGTTACTCATTAATTTACTAGTGAGGTCATTTTTGACACGGGACATCATGGCCGTTACATACTTGAATAAACCACGGAGAATTCACTGAAAGTGGTAATCAACAATTTTATATGTTCAAATGCCTGGATGATATCATAAGGTCTTGAAGCAATCTGATGTCAATTACAATATGTATGACTGATCAAAGTAGTAAATTGGTCAGATCAACCAGAACGCGACAGGTGGGTCACCACTGAGGCATTTTTAGAGCAAATACAGAGTCATGTATACAGTATGATGAGCTAAGTGTAATAATGTGTATTAATCTAATCTGTGTTCTGACTCTTTGTTTCTCCATGTTTCCTCCCTATAGACAGGCCAGTCTGAATGAGGCAGCAGAGAGACAGTACGAGCGAGCAGCAGGCCTCAGACCAGATGTGAGTACCTGGGCTGGTGGGCCTGCCAGCACATATCATGGAAGCACATATCATGAACACACACACACACACACACACACACACACACACACACACACACACACACACACACACACACACACACACACACACACACACACACACACACACACACCACACACACACACACACACACACACACACACACACACACACACACACACACACACACACACACACACACACACACACACACACACACACACACACGACACACACACACGCCTGCACTGTAAATTCAATTTACAACATGCTACGTGTTACTCATCATTCTGACATTATTTTATAGTACTGTTGTTCCTGGCAAACAGGGAATATGAAATGGAAACTATGCTCCGTTCACCGCTGTGAACCGGTGCCTGGATGCTCTCATGCAAACACAGAGATCCCAGAGAGAGAAGAGAGAAGAGCTCTTGTGTTACCGTCGGTGTTTTTCAGTTCACACATTCAGCTTCAGAGTAAATACTTGATCATCACAGTATAGTGTAACAGAGCCTTGAAGGGTATCATGTCTCTCAGAGTCAGCACATGTGGTGGAGGAAGGTATGGCTATTATATCCTGTTGAAGTATCAGTCAGTCCTTCAGAGGGACAGGGTCTGGGAGGGGGAGTCATAGCGACCCCTGTGCTTTCTGACAGGACTTCCTGCAGTCATCTGTCATGTTAGTGTGCTCAGTGAGGGTCTGCTCTGTGACTACTGATACCACTGCATTCAGGAGGGAGCGTTACACTTCCATCTTCATGCCCTTCACTAACGTAACTAATGTTATTTTACCGCACCCTTTATAGCTACTTTTATTGTCTAATGTAGACATAGGAGAAAGTAAATGTCAAATCACCATTTTTCTGGTCACTATACCGCAATTAACCATATTATCCTGATAACCATCAAGATATGCTTACAAGTCTTAAGATGGCACTAACACATAGTGGATTCAATTGATATTACATTTTCTTAAGAACATTCTTATTGCATAACATGCAGTCAAATAAAACAAAGCAAATGTAAACAAGTTGCATTTGTACTACTACTACTACTACTACTACTACTCATTATGAGATATTCTCTATTCCAACTACCATGATGTTAGCAAACATGTACTGCTATTTCATATTTGTTACTTTTAGATAACTATGTTCTTTATTATTTTATCCATAATTGTAACCATTTATCCTTGGCTTCTGTTTCTACTCTATTACTTACTGTAGCTATTTCAACCATGTATCCATTATAGGACTTTTATTTAACAGTTTCAATTGTTTAACTTTACTCCCTGTTGGCTTGCTTTCTTGGTTTCACACACTGTCAATGGCAACACATAGAGTTCAAGTGTATTTATTTTTATTTTAAATGTGCTCCTTTAAAATGTTTCTTCACACCTACTGACAACAGCTGAACAGTACTGGCTGAGAATCACTGCTTTAAAACATCTGCCTTTTTTTGGATTAGGTCTGCCTGTCTTTTTATATCCTGTTTAAGCCCATAAGTAAATCCATAGAAGAATACTGGTTGTCCATTTCAATTTGGTTAGCCATGTGTATATATTTCATTCTGGAAGAAAATCTCCAAGTCAGTCATTATCATTCACAGTCGAGAAGCATTCATGTGCACATTCAGACACGCTAAGGGCTCCTCTTGTCATTTGTCTCAAAGTAAAGCACCTCTTGACATTTCCCTGCCCACGTCAGTCTCTCAAACATCAACTTAATCCAGAAGCATTCGAGTCATGAAAGATTCAGCTCTTACTCTCTACGTGTTAGGAAAGGCAACGATTGTGTGCCTACAGGAAAAGGTGCAAGTATAGTTTTCATTTTGCACACATTGACTGAAATGCTTATTTGCACCACTATATTTACTGACAATGGTTTGGGAAATGGTCATTCTAGGGGTCCTCATGCAACAGTATACACACCATACGGTACTTGCGTCTAAAAAGGATGACATATTGTGGTTATTTTTCCTTTAATATCAAGTTCTTGCCCTTAAAATGTGAGTCTTTTTTTATTTAGCAATAGCTGTGGTTACCGTGTTAACAGCAAGCATAAAGTATTGTAACATCAAACACTCCTGAGCAGCTACACTGGCAGAAATATGACAGAAGAGAATGTATCTGTTTACAGGGCAGCAAAACAAACGCACACATTTTTTAGTAAAAAGATAATTACATCCACAATCTTATTTCGTGCTACAGGTTCTTTTTAGAGCAAGGCACGCAAGTGATTTGTTATATTGCCGGGGAGTGGGTGCGCAACCTTTTGCCTGAAACTATCAAAACAAAAGATATTTGCATAGTTATACATTTTGGAGTTTCCAATGAAGGATTTTTCACAGCGTAATTCAACTTCAGTAAGAAATTATTCAAATCAGAGTGTTTCATAGGGGTGGAAGGGATCCTTAAGGATTATATAACTTTTAGGATAATATGATAAAGGTTTACAGTAGTGCAGGGTGCATCTCTAGAGTTACCACAGGCAGATGCTATCTTACAAAATACTGTATATCCAACATGTGTAATAACTTAGATCACTGTGTATTAATGCAAGAGCAACCCAACGTTATATATAGTCGTTTCAGTCAAAAGAAAGTAAAAAATGGCCTTACTCAATGACTCTGTCTGCCTTCCCGTACACAGAGCATAGGCAAGGCTCTGTTTCTGATGATGAAGCCCGGTTTGTGTATTGCATATCAGCTCATTGTTTAGAATGGCAAAGGGACGCTCATTTATCTAGCTCAGTACAATATGTTTCAGCTGCTCTCTCACTGGTACAGAGCAAGGGATTTGGAGCACTTTGAAATGTAACTGCTTGGTACATTCATTTGATGCACTAGGTGAAAAAAACAACCCGACTGGATGAAAAGAGAGCGTTGGTACTGCACTGCAGCTCCTCTCTGCATTCATTACGGAACTCTCCAGCGTGTTCTTGAAATATTCCAGCTCCTCAAGCATTCATTTGTTACATGAGGTGAGAAAAACAGGCACTTTTGAGTAGTGGAATGTAAACAAGGGAAAAATCAATGTTGAGAAGAGACTCACAGTTGTGTCTGGGAAGAGAAAATCTGTGAAGTAGTTGCCAAGTTGCTAAGAATATGTCAGGCACCGAGGACGCGGGCCAGAGACCCGGGCCAGGTCCGCTGATGAGCTGCCGACTGCTTTATGAAGGGGTCTGTGTAGAGTCATGTCTGTGACCTGGGTTTTTTTTGTGAACTGGTACACTATTGATGGTCAAATGGTCTAATTTGGCAACTAGTTGATATGGTATTTTTTTTTCTTTTTTTAAAGGACTCCAGAAAGAAACATGTATTACATAAAAACTACTCCCAGCCATAGACAATCTGTACCCATTTGTCCACTGTGGCACTACCAAAGGATGTCCTTTTGTCTTTGGCCATGCCTTAGGTGTAATTGAATGCATATTAGATTTTCTAAGCCTTAAACTAATTTCACCAGAGACCTTTCCTTAATCCACTCTCCATTTAAATAAAAACTGGCAAGCGTCCTAAAACATGTTTATGTCTTACATAACTGTCTGTGTCCAATGTGGAGCTGAGAAGGGCAAGTTTTAAATAGTTTGCCCGGACAGATGATTCAAAGGTGAACACAGTTGTGGTATTCCTGTGCAGTAACCCTGAACGTCCTCACAACTGACTGTAATGTAATCATGCAGCACTCTGCCCCTGTTCTCATGGTGTCTTTTCCCTCTCTTAGTACCCGGCTGCTCTGATGAACCTCGGGGCCATCCTCCACCTGAACGGGAAGCTTCCGGAAGCGGAGGCCAACTACCTGCGTGCTCTCCAGCTGAAACCTGATGATGTCATCACCCAGTCCAACCTGCGCAAGCTGTGGAACATCATGGAGCGGCAGGGGCTCCGGGTCAGGGGGGGGGCCCGGGGAGCAGGGGAGAGACCTTCTAACTGAGAGCTGCTCTGTTCTCTCTGTGATGACAGTGTGTCCTCCAGGCATTTACAGGACAATATATGAAAGAGTTGGAGGCTAAACTCTCTACAAGACGGGAGAAACTAATCTTTTATGAGATCTGACCTGTGATCGTTGTGGAAGACAGCTTAAGGCTTGGCATGTTTGAGATTCAAGTGTGAAGCGCTGAATGGTCAACAGCAGTCCTGATTGGTGGATCAAACCACTGATATTACTTAGTGATGTTAAGTCGTTAAAGGAAGGCAATTAACTGCAAAGTCCAAAAGAAAAAGTTTTGAGAAGGAGCGTCTCAAAAAGCAGCTGAATATTACTTGTTTTAAAGCACTTAATTTGAAGGAGGATGTAACAAACTATTTAAATAATTTCCGTGGAATGGGTTTGGAAGTGGTCAGCACTGATGAGTGAGTGATGCCAGGTGGTTGTGTTAAAAGTGAAATCCAACCATTTCAAGCATCAAGTCTTATTACAGGTAATTGTGAATACTTTCGCATAAATGAAAATAATTTGTAAAAGACTGCAGCTTCAGAGGGAGATGTCTAACAAATTGCCTCAAGTGATGTCACTTTCTGTACAAGTTTCAAAAAGGCAAACAAAAGGAGTTGGAAACTGATCTGTAGCCCACTCCTCATCTCAGCCCAATGCTAGCTGCTAATACTCTAACACGCCTGAATCTCTGACGAGTTGCATTGTGGTTGATGTAGGCACCGGGTTGGAAATCGATTTGAAACTGTGCATCGTGAGTTTGACAACTTTAGAGTGCAATGAAACCCTGATTGATAGCCTCAGGGTGCTCTTGCCACAAACATATACTATTCAAACAGTAAATGCATAACAATAAAAGCATGCTAACACTAAGGCTTGTTCAGGTACCTCCCTCTAATACAGTGCTGTGTAGTCACTTGCTTAAACCAATAAAACACCAGGTTAAAACATGAAGCATAGCCAATTCCCATTGTGTTGTCCGAGTCACTGAAGATTGTTTGCACCTGGTGCATTGTAGATGCTTGTGACTGTAAACATGTAAACAGGTCATGAGGAAACTCCTCAGCGGTGCCAAAGCTTGAACTGAGTCTCTACGCCTCTCGTGCCAAGCAAGAACTGAAACGTGTCGTGTTCCTCGTGTCGAAAGAAGATGTTTCATTTCCTGTGATCAAATGATCAGACTTAATTTATTAATACATGTTATTTTATGTGAAAAAGCCAACACTGTGCCGTGGCTGTCACAGTAGCCCACCCTCTCTTATGTCCCCATGTAGATAGGCTACAGTAGGCTACATGATATTTACAATAAAACGTGTTATTTTCCTCTCTGCTCAGGGACATCAGGTTGTGGTTCCTGTCCCAGAATGCCTCTGTGATACAGAGAGAGCTTCTTAAAATGATGTACAGTGTTTTTTGATGATTGTGATATTTGGTTGAATTATAGAACATGTGTAGCTGGAAATGTGTTGTGTTTTGTAAAGAAGAGTTTTCTGTAATAAAAACATGACTTTTGCCGTCAGCAGTGTGATGTCCTCAGGGAAGCCTTTGCCTCTCAACAATGTCAATTCAGTCCACAAACCCACATGTTTATTCATGTGAATACAGAGTCTACACTGAGTGTGTATCTGTCCTTTAATCCTGTCATGGCATGCAGGCGTACCCCTCCAGCAGACACTGGGGAGTGACCAAATCAAAGCGTAGATTTCCCATGAGGCCAAAATACCATGAAAATATTTCAGTGGGCTCTGTTCCAGACAGCAGTTTACTACGGAGAAGAAAAAACTTTTCATTTAGCTCAATGTACTTCCAGAGGCCTGTACTACGAAGCCGGTTCAACATAACCTGGATATGTTTGAGTTACCCGGCGCACCTAATCCAAAACAAACGCGCTCTCGCTAAGCGGTCCTACGACGCTGGTTATCAACTCGTTAACTCAAGCCAGCTTTGCCCTATCTAGTTATGTGCACGTTCACATAAAAGGGGCGGGGTTAGCAACATTTGACCAATCACAAACATGGAGAAGCGTACTGACAGCGCAGCGTCATATATACTTCCTGAATGAAAAGTGAACTATAATATTAGACATATGAAGAAGTTGAACTTTAAACATCCATGACTTAAACACTTTATCCAGGATAAAAGCCACATAGCTGCACCTGCAAGGTGAATACAGCTGGTAAAAGAACAAGTGTTTGAATGCGTACATTAAAGCTCCCATGTCATGCTTTTCCGGTTATTACCCGTCCCCTTGTGTGTTATGAAGGTTTTTATGCATGTAAACAGTGTGGAGAGTCAAAACCCTCAAAGTACACCCTGTAGCGAGTAAAACTCTAACACAGAAAATACCTCCCCAAAACGCCTCGTTGGAGATACGTCACTGCCAGGGGCGGACTGGCCATCGGGACGTTCGGGACGAATCCCGATGGGCCGGTACTGAAGTGGGCCGCTCGGACGATGTGGGCCGCTCGGATAACTCACTAGCACCCCCACCCCCCCCCCCGTTGATAATTTACCGAGGTGGGCCGGCGGTACCGAAGTGGGCCGGTCGTGAGTCCCGGGCTGATTTGTAGTCCCAGTCCGCCCCTGGTCACTGCCCATTTGATTCTTCCGGGTACCGCCTGATGTCATGCGGTACCCGGAACGAAATGGACCAATCCCGAAGAGCTATGGCCACACCAGCAGCGGCGTGTTCCTCCTCCAGAGGTTCGAAGAACCGGCATTTCACAGACGAAAGCTTCCAAAACATTGCCCAGTTTGAGGCCGGATATGCACAGCTTGTTTGGACCGTTTGGAGCAGGGGAAGATCTGGGTATACAACCTGTAAGTTTGCATTGTTATTTGTGTATTTATCAAACAAGACTGTTTAAATGTGTAAACTGTGTTGGACTGCTAAGCCATTGACACAGTGCTAACTGTGCTAACTAAGTTGCTAGAGTTTCCATATATCAACTCTAATATCAGCAGATGGCCTTGCATACATGTATCTCATAGCAGGAGAATGTCTGCATTCACACACAAAATACCTATTGACAGTATACTCCGGGTGATTTGCCGGTCAGTCGCGAAACGTAATTACATTATAGCAGGGTTGCCAACTTTGGGTACCTGGCTGGAGTGAGATTTTCATATCATGGGTTTAATTCGGTTTAATTACACATATGCGCACGAAATGACTGCTATCGTGTCAGCAGCGGGACCTTAGCATATAGGATATATATACAATATATACAAATACACAATAATGGACACAGACTATAAAGGGCACACAGTTTCATTCACTAATGAAAGTCAAACATGTTTGTTTCCACTGTTTTATTGTGTGCCTGTCGCGATAAGCAATTAATTGACTTATCGTACGATAAATAAAAATGAACTCGATAACTTTTCTGACCTCGATAAATTGCCATTTACATGAGGATGTGACAAGCAGTTTGAAAGGATGTACTTGAATAATTATTATATATTATCATTATGTCAGTGGTCTAAAATGGTCATACAACGGTGCCGACAATATTATCGCTTATCGCAATAATTTCCGGGAAAATGTATCCAACAAAATTAATTATCGTGAGAGGCCTATACATGAAACACACACACACAAACAAATCTACAGACTTACTCCAAACTGCCAAATATATTAATTAACACACTCTCACTCTCATATACTCTTTGACTCTATTTTGGCCTAGTAGAACAATAAGCAGCAGACTTTTACTTTTTTATCATTTCTACTGGATCTTAGATCTGCGCATGCGCTTCAGAGTATTTTTGTTGGGTAATCTATGGTAGGGCTAACCCTTGTGGTGGGGCTCAAGTCAGTATTTGCAATGTAATTACATACATACATCCCCCGACAGTGAAACGCCACGCGTGAGGTTTAGATTATTTCCCTGTCTCAATCCCAATTGAACTGTATGAAATAAAAAGGCACATTTGTCTTGTAGGAAATAAAAATGGCGACCTGGAGCCAATCCTGCAATTTCCCCACAAGTGAAAGAGTTGACATGCTGAAAACCCAACCCCTGCAGGGGGGTCTGGGGGGATTCTCCCCCAGGAGAATTTTTTAAATACTAACATAAAATACACATTCTGGTACTCTCTTGAGAAGAAAAATAAATAAATCTATTACTACACATTTAAAAAAATGAATGCCATATTAGTTTTGTGTTACTTTGTTCTGAAAGCTGAACCTGCTGCTCCTCACAGAAGAGGCTGTGTGAATTACTTTACATTGTGGATAAGGGTGGATAGCCCCCATTGTTCTGTGTGTCAAAATGAAAGACAGCCCACACACCTATCAATCATCAAACCGTGGGGTCTTATTTCATTACGTGTTGATTTCTATCAACACGTAATGTTGTATCGATGTATAGAGATGTACTACCGCAAAAGTATTCTCCGTCGGGACTTCCTGCAACAACACCACGCCGTTATCGTGATTCTGATTGGCCAGAAGACATTATCAAAGATGTTCTATTGAGAAGACGATCACTACGTGACAAAAGTTTTCAAAACCGTTTCTAGTCTTCGTATTCTTATTTTTGGCGTGAGAATAGTTTGGGCAGCGTGAGAGCGTGAGATTGAGAGTGAAAGCGTGTGTCACACGCCAGATGCGTGAGAGTTGGCAACCCTGTTATAGCTGGCGTAGCGATCTAACACACGGAGCTAGAGCTAGTTTTGGTCGGAAAAACATTTTTGTGATGCTACGTTGCTAGCGTTTAAATATATCAACTACAATGTCAGCAGATGGCCTTACATGTTTGTCATGGCAGGAGAATGTCTGCAGTCACACACACGGAATACTCATACAGTATACTGTACTGTGATTTACCGTACATTGTGACCGTACATATACTGCATGTAGCTAATGAGGCTAGCTGTATGCTAGCGCAAAACAATGTATTCATGCAAGTTACATTGTATGGTAGCAGAATACCCGTATACGATTGCAATTATAAACACGTTATTGCTAGCCTAATATGAACCACTAGCTTTTGTTCATAGTAGTTTTATTACACTGCATTATAGTTGCCTTTCCTCCAAGCTAACGTTCATATCGTGTTAGCTACCAAGGTAAACAAAGCTAGGTTAGCATATTAGCAGGCAAGCTGTTCATTACACAACTACTACTAACGAATCTAAAACAACTAAGTTTCTCTAATATTTTGTGATTTGCATTTGATTTCGTCCAGCCAGATCCTGGCGGACAATCCATGACGGGGAAGGGACTTCGACTACTACTGAGGCCTCGTGCTAAAAGGCACCACACCGACTGTGCGCAGGCAAGATGCGAGGAGGAGGAATGAATGATATACCGTGTTTATATATGTATATTTATGTTCATTTTGTACATTTCTAAAAATAAAGTTTAATGGAAATACTTAGTAGGCCTATCCTTTCTTCCCTGAATTCATATATAGCAAACCATGATTTGATTTCTCATCAAACAGTAGTAGTTTATAACGGGTAAAAATAACTTACTCTTTGTTATGAGAGTGGCTCGTAGGCCACAACGGAAAGACAAGGAGACATACACGAGTTTACAAAACCACGGCACATTTATTGTGGTAAATGCAGAGATAGGTGGTTGAGAGGATCACAGAGTTAGTCTTCCTGCAGCCGCTTTGGAGAGACTGGGGCCGTCGTGTCCGTGATCGTGTTGATTAGCCTCTTCAGCTCCACCCCATCGTAAGACAAAGGCCCTGGGGCCGTCACACTCTTCTATAACAACAGTTAAAAATATATATGTATATAAAATATACCGCTGTACCGACGCCATGATAAGACTGATGTTACGCTGAGAGCAGCCGGGAAAAGCACTGACATGGGCGCAGCCTCTCTGGTGGTTGACTAATCAGAACGAGTGGCCGAGCTGACCAATCGGAGCACACTAGGCTCACAGGGAGGGGGGGGCATGAGCTCCAACGAGTCGTTTAGTGGAGAAAGTGAATACTGCTGAATACACATGCTTGACAGAGATGCTGTATGCGAAACCAATGTGAGTTTGGAAAATTGCACAGTATAAATCTATTTTAGTATACCTCAACAATGTAATTATGATCAGTGGAAATGGCCATGACATGGGCCCTTTAACAGGTTTATGAAATCACTGCCCCGTCCAAGACACGAGTGGATCTGACTTTAATTACATTTGACTCGAGTGTTTCGTCAACTGTTGCTTAAAATAATACTGTAGTATACTGTATGTAATACTGTATGTAGTATGAGCAGCAATGTACTATTGATGTGTGAAAGGGGTTTGGTTGCACTACATTGTAAAATGTCAAAGTAATTTAAAATAGTTTGAAATAAAAAAGCCTGAAAATATTTTAAAGCATATTTATTCAAAATAAGTGTTATACTGTAACAACAACATAACCATTGATGTGTTAAGAGATTTTGGTAGCACTACATCTTAACCTGTTAAGCCCTGAGCCTGTTTTTCAGGTCTCAGGCTCGAAAATGACATTCCCAGAACAAATGACTATATCTTCCCTTTTAAAAGGGGTAAATTAAT